GGTGGTTTTATCTTCTCGGAGAGATTACTTTCGAAAACCTTCGTTTGCTCCGCTCTCTGCTATGGAGGAAGAAGCTTGAAAAATCCCTCTACTTCTTCTTTCGTTTTGATTCTACAAAACAAGCATCATGGCTATGGGTGGCTTGATTTCGAACCGGAACTTCGGTTCCTTCATCGGCTCAGGTATTTCACTCATGTTTTGGTTCAGATTTGCCTCAAGGTGCATTCTTCTAAGATTTCGCGAATCATTCGCGTATTTGGAGGCTTGAGCGTAGCAAATTCGCCTGTTACTGACATCAGAGCTTGATTTTTGTTATCATTGACGTGTGCATTGCTTTGGTCTAGTGTGAATTTCTCGTCTCTCTGGAACAATTTCAGCTCACCTTATCTCCAAATACCAGTATAGCTTATTTAGTGATGCTCTACTGTTATGCAACATTCACAATGAATTCTGTCTTAACTTTTGGTATTACTTTCAAGTGTTTTGAAATCCCAATCTTTCTGATATTGCCATTACTTTGTAGGCAATGGTTTTCAGAACGAAAGAGGCATTTTGTACCAGAGAACGGAGATTTCCAACAGAGTCATGCTTTATCAGGATCTCTGTAATAGGAAAACAAATGGTATTGTCTCGTTTTTGATGTCTCTTCAGCTTTATCAAGCAATTTATGCTAAAGCATTTTCTTTTACTGTAGCATTGTGCCGTAATCATCAATCGCGCAAGATTATATCTCTGCAAGCTAGTTTACAGCATGAACTGAGACATGAGAGAAGTTTTGGATGTTTCCTTCAACCGAGAATGGACTGTAGAATTAGGTTTAGGAACAGTATCAAAGAATGTGGTAATAGCAAGATAAACAGATCTCGTGCTTACTACAAATCAGAAGAGTCCGATATTACTGAAGGAGTTGTAGACTCACTGCCGTCAGCCGATGGGTCAGCTGAAGCTATTTTGGTTGAAGGAAATCTACAGAACGCATCGCCATGGTGGCAGCAGTTTCCAAGACGCTGGGTGATTGTGCTGTTATGCTTTGCATCATTTCTTCTATGCAATATGGACCGTGTAAGTCTATGATTTGCTTATTTTGTAAAAATTTGCAGGATGTATTTTCCATATCACGTGTTTACGAAGTGACATGCTTGTGGTAGGTGAACATGAGCATTGCAATTCTTCCCATGTCACAAGAATTTAGCTGGAACAGTGCAACAGTTGGCTTGATTCAGTCTTCTTTCTTCTGGGGCTATTTACTTACTCAGGTATAATAATTCAATCACTCTATGTAGGATGTGATGTAACATAGAACTCAAAAGAGAGGGTAGATTTATTCCTACTTTAGCCTGAGCCATGCTCATTTTCTCTTGACTATAGATCCTGGGAGGTATATGGGCAGATAAGTTTGGCGGGAAGGTGGTTTTGGGTTTTGGTGTTGTCTGGTGGTCATTTGCCACAATTATGACACCTATTGCTGCCAAACTTGGTCTCCCCTTTTTGCTTGTCGTGCGGGCGTTCATGGGCATTGGCGAGGTTGGCCTCTTCTGCATTTCTTTTCTCTTCTGATAATTGTCTACGACCTGTTCAACTTCTCATTGGTAAGTTCTGTCTACCTTTACTACAGGGTGTTGCTATGCCTGCTATGAACAACTTGCTTTCTAAATGGATCCCTGTCTCAGAGAGAAGCAGATCGCTTGCACTAGTCTATAGTGGCATGTATCTTGGTTCTGTTACAGGATTGGGATTCTCTCCTATGCTAATCCACAAGTTCGGATGGCCATCTGTTTTCTATTCGTTTGGATCCCTTGGAAGTATATGGTTTCTGCTATGGCTAAAATATGTATGAATCTCTTCTCCATAACATGAGCCAAGACTCTGATATCTACAAAACCTCCAAGAGAATTATTATTCAAACGTTTCTTTTGTTTCATCTCAGGCCTATAGCTCTCCTAAGGATGACCCGGATCTCAGTGCAGAAGAAAAGAAGATCATACTCGGAGGTAGCAAGCCACGGGAACCAGTTACAGTCATTCCATGGAAGCTGATCCTGTCTAAACCCCCTGTCTGGGCTCTCATAATTTCCCACTTCTGCCATAATTGGGGAACATTCATACTTTTGACATGGATGCCCACATATTACAATCAGGCATGGAGTTTAACTTCACTTATTTCTTTATGGTTTAATAATTTTACAAACAGGTGAAAAATAATTATGTCTATTGTTGTTCGTCTTTGATCACATTGCAGGTCTTGAAGTTCAACCTCACTGAGTCTGGTCTCCTATGCGTCTTACCATGGCTTACCATGGCTGTATTTGCTAATATTGGAGGTTGGATTGCTGATACCCTCGTGAGCAGAGGTCTTTCAATTACATCCGTTCGGAAGGTAAGAAACACACTCTTCTAGTTTCTGATCATTACATGTCTTTCCACTATTTCTCTAATACCCATTAAGGCTAAACTTGTTATGATGCTTTCAACCAAAGGAATGAGAACTAACCTTACTAACAATTAAAGTGTTCTCATGAGTCAATTATTGTGCCTCAAGGCTAGCCCAAGGGATAGTTATTTCTGCTGATACAACTCTTCAATGCCGCAGATCATGCAATCAATTGGTTTTCTGGGTCCTGCCTTCTTCCTGACTCAGCTGAGCCGTGTCAAAACTCCAGCAATGGCGGTTCTCTGCATGGCATGCAGTCAGGTATTGGCATACATCATTTGGTTAAAAGGAAGCCATAGAATTATGCACATTTGATTGTACATATTAAGCTTGGAACATTCTGAAAACATATTGCCATTTTTGACTTGCACACCTGCCGACACAACATGATTGTTCTAAGAGTACAACCATAATCGAACATAACTTAAATGCAATGTCTGCTTCAGAAACGGCCAGTTGTCTCTCTTAAGAACCAATCATGAGTTATGTACAGCTCTGACATTAAGACTCATGTTGTCCCCAACAGGGCTCTGATGCATTCTCTCAGTCGGGTCTCTACTCTAATCATCAAGACATTGGCCCACGCTACGCTGTGAGATACATACACATCACTTTCTCTTTTATTAACTTGACAATGATTTGTTTCATTAACTATGGCTTCGCTCGCAGGGTGTTCTCTTAGGACTTTCAAACACCGCAGGTGTCCTCGCTGGTGTCTTTGGCACTGCTGCTACTGGCTACATCCTCCAACGAGGTTTCTATATTTATATATATTCACATTCTTCCCAATCACCGAAATTTTTGGGTACACTATTATTAACCATCAACTTCTTCTTATACTTAAATACTTAGGTTCATGGGATGATGTGTTCAAAGTAGCAGTTGCACTGTATCTAGTAGGAACTCTGGTCTGGAACTTGTTCGCAACCGGAGAGAAAATTCTCGACTAGCCGTGGTCAAATCGCGACGACCAATAGCTGCAGTGAAAATGGTGTGAGGAAAGCTTTATGTTTTGTTTTCTCTGCTATAAATTTGATCTGATAGTGTGAGATCAAAATGGGAATTGCTTTCTGTTCTGTTTCATAAGTTAACAAGGTTTTAAAAAAAATTGCATTATTATTTTTTTGACTCTTTTGTGAAAGCTTACAGTCTGATTGGGGAGAACAAGTCAAAATGTAAAGCTTACAATAGAGAAAAAACAAACCAAACTATTACCTTTTTAGTTTTTAGTAGTGTATATTTGCTTACATTTTCATATAGCACAATCAAACCAATCACAAAACCCAAACGAAAATGTATTTGTATAAAAATAAACTGTAAAAATATTATCAACCCGAAACGCCTTAACGCGGTGGCGTCTACACCGCGACAGCCACAGCCGTATTAACGGCGATGCCTTCACCAATAACGCCGTTGCATTTTCCGTTAAGAGTAGCAACGACGTCGTTTCTCTCCTTGGTGGTCATGAGACTCTTCATGATCACTTCCAAATCCCTCTTGTGCACGTCTACCAAAAGTCCGTTCTTCATGAACAGTGTAAGCGACATCTTTTGCTCCACCTTGTGTCCCGGAGCCACCGTCAATCTATGGCGGAGCAACACCGCCGCAGCGATCGTTTTCATCTGAAGATACGCTAGATCTTTCCCCAAACAGATCCTTGGTCCAGCGTTAAAAGCAACGAATCGATACTGATCGTGATTCACGAATTTCCCATCTTCCGGCGAGATCCACCTCTCCGGCTTAAACTCCAGACAATCCTCTCCCCAAGTCGACTTCATCCTCCCCGCCGCGTAGATCGAGTAAGTCACCGACGATCCCGCCGGTACGAAAGTTCCGTCCGGTAGAATATCGTCGTTCACGACGTGCTTCGAGTCCTCCGGCACCGACGGGTAAAGCCTAAGCGTCTCGGAGAGCGCCGCCTTCAGGTAAACCAGCCGGTCGACCTCGTCGAAACCTAACGGCTCCTCCGTCCACGACGAGATGTCGGCGCCACGTGTCTCCATCAGAACGGTGCAGATCTCGTGGACGATCTTATCCTCGACCGTTGGATGCGTAGTGACGAGCCAGAAGAACCAGCTCAAAGCTACTGATGACGTGTCACGTCCAGCTAGTATGAAATTAAGCGCCACGTGTCGTAAAAACGTCTCGCTGTAAGACCGGTCCATGTGATCTTTCTTCTTCATAAAACGGGAGAGAAGATCGTCGTGTCGCTGGACCCCACTTTCTTGCTGACTCAGCAATTCTTGCTTACGTGTATTAATGACTGCATCCAAATACCCATCGATCTCTCCTAGGCTTCGGCTCAAGCTGACTTCTAAACCGAGCCCAAGCCATTTCTTGAGCCTCCACATAAACTCAGGCAAAATAAACCGCTGGAGAGAGGCTTCGGTGGCTCGGTCGAAAGCCGTGGCGAATCCATTCTCGGGTAGTCCCGGTGCGCAGGTTCGAGTGTCCTTCCCGAACGCTAAACCGCAAATGTTGTCGAATGTGAGCCGTAGTATTAAGTCTTGGAGATCGACCGGCTCGCATTTGATCTGAGCCGTTTCAAGAATCGGACAGAACCGGAGCTTAATTCCTCGGTTCACCCACCTACCCATAGCTTGCCTTAACGTCCTGCAACACAAAATTAAAGCCAATTCTTTTAGCCAACAATCATACAAAAAAAAAAAAAAGCAATTTATGGGGAAATTCGATATGGTTAGAGCCATTAGCTTCAATTGGTGTGACATTAACTAAATCTATAATTACACGTTTATTTTTGTTTGCACATGCATGAATGCAAAAATCAGAGTATTAATTAAACCGGTCCGGTTAAGGTTGTTGTGGAAATACCTGGTTGTGAATTCAAGAGCGGCGGTTTTGCGCTGGAAGAGCCAGGTTTCACCGTCGGTGTTAAAGATGCCTTGGCCGAGGAAGTCATGGAAAACGGCTTGCCACGTAGGACCTTTAGGATAGTTGTCGAACCGGGTCTTGAGCATGTGTTCAATGTTCTTCGGGTCGGACGTGACCGTCACGAGACCTTGCTTCTTCGCCAAGAAAGGAATGGCACAAATACATGTCTGATAAGTACCACCACACGCACGGAGGTTTTCAGTGATCCAGTCGTGCATACGGTCACGGTTCTCGATCAGACCAGGAAGACTGCCCAATACAGGCCAGACACGTGGACCCTTCAGCCACCTTGAGATCCTCTTGAACCATAGCCAGTAAGCTGCAGCAACCGCTACAAGCAGCATCGTATTGGATACATCCATTTCTCTACGGTTTCAAGTAGTATAACAGGAGATTGTGGTTGGAGGAAAGTATAAGGAATGGTATCAATGGTGTTTCCAAAACTGGTGCTTGAGAGACAAATCAAGTTTATACTTTAAAAGGATGGTTTTTCTTGTGAAAATATATAGAGAGAGGGGAGAGAAAAAGATGGCATTAATAAGTGGAGGAAATAATACTGTAACTGCTAGCCATCAGAAGCAGCAACCCTCATTAATGGAGATTGTTGAGAGATTGTTTACTAATTGAATGGATTTGAAAATTCAGCTAAGTCTTTGTCTGTGAAACAAAACAAAAAAACTCGTAATTTTGGAGATATGAATTAAAGACTGTTTAGATGTAGAAGTCAAGAGATGTGGTAAAGGTGTGAGAGTAGTTTATAGGAGAGAAATTATCAAAAGGCAAAGCGAAGAAGAAGAACACTCTCATTTAATGATGAATCCATTAAATGACTCTAAAT